TTATTTCTATGTTAATGTGTTTTTTTGTGAAAAATATTAGATAACAAAACCAAAAAAAGTAAACAATTATTTTTTTTAGTCTTAGCTGCCACTTTTTGCACATGTAAATCGGCCTTCAAAATACTATCAGGATTCGCCTGCCAGCTAGACTGTCATTAGCATCTTCTGTTGTGATATACTTAAAATACTTTTATTTTCTATTAACAGGACAATAGCTTATTCTGTAAGCAAGACACGATTCTTCGTAGGAAAACCTCCATTTGTTCCTGTCAAAAGGGAACTTCCTATCACAAACACATTTAGTTTCACAATGATTATTTATGATGCTGCTTTTCCTTCAGAGGTGGAAAGTGTATTTACTGTAAGTACAGTTTTAGACAACTGACAAAAAGTGAATTTTCTTATATCAGGTGTATTTCTTGAGTCATTCTGTACTTGGAAACCAGGGGCTGAAGCCCATACTTAAAATTTTTCCAAAGGATTTTTTTCCATTTTCAATGGACCATGATTGGGATATCTGTTAACTGATGTGAAGTTTGGGAATGTGACTCCAGATTCAGGGTCCATACTAAGTGATCGTTCCTTTGCTTATTTAAGGCAGTGTTGGTTTGTAAAAATAAATAATACTTTGGTGGTTGCAGTACAAACAAAAAGTGCTTCTTTTTCTTCCCTTCTGGGTGGAATTGGAATTTGAAAATGAGGTTTTTGAGGAGAAAGAAAACCTGGTGTGTGTGTGTGTGTGGAGAAAATGTCACCTCTTGATACAAGAGCAAAAGTCACCAACAAGCTCAACCCCCATGTGTTTCCCCCTCTGAGACTTGAGCAGGCACCACATTGATGTGAGGTGAGTTCTAGCTCACACCCTTGTTCTGGCCCTTATCCTCCCATGTTACTGTGGAGATGCATGTATAAAATAATAACATAAGTTGGTCTTCAGCCATAATAAGTCATCATAAACTGAGATCATAAACTTTCAAATGCTGCCTTTATATTATACATTTTTTTGTAATGTTTGTGTTTTTGTTGATCTACAGGTTGTAAATTTTACCAAGCCAGCAATGATCCCTCCTCAGAGCACAGTTACTCCTTTCTTTGTGCATTTCCTTCCTAATACATCAGATGTAGCATTCTCTACAATTCTTAGAGTCTACACAAATGCATCTATTTTTACCGTGCCTATTCACTGCTTCAATGGAAAACTCAAGGTTGGTCTTGTGTCGCTGTTATTTCTTCAATATACCTTTTTAGCGTGGGTGTTGTGTTTGTGTGTTATTCGAGAAATATCTGCAACCCCTGGTTTTTGTGGCTGAAGAAACCTAATCTCATTAACTCTGTTTTGCTTTTAATAGTTGGCTTCAAAACCCTCCTCTCCCTTTCAAGTTGCTTAATTTTGGAATCACATCAGTCGAAGCAAGCCAAAGTGGTTAAAAATGAAAACAAAAGGCGCTTTCCATTCAACCATATGGAATGAACCATTTCAGTTTGGTCCGACCGGAACATCGGGACCAACTTTGAAGGTGGTCCACTTTGACTGGTCTGGTCATTTCAGATGGTCCAACCAAAATGTCCCTTTTCATTTGACAAAGTTGATGTCCCCAGTACTGCTCTTTTCTATCCTGCTTACAAGAACAATAAACAAATGCACGTTGGCTTAGGTCAGGTCTGTGCAATGGGAATGTAGGCAACTTTTGGATTCAGCTTTTGTAAGCTACCGTTCCATTTTGTACGTGAAATTTCTGACATTTCAAACCCGAATTTTTGTTGTTGGTGGAAAGTGCCCAAAGTTGATGGCTGTACCGTCTACAGGTACTTTGAGTTAAAAACTTGTACACTTCTAGCGGCCACTTTCTAATGAATCTACTGTGTTGTTCAAGCCCTCATACTGTTTGTTTATATCTCAGTATGTGGTAGATGGCTTAGAGGAAGATGTTGTTGATTATGGTACAGTTGGAACAGGAGAGAATAGAACAAAACTTCTTAGAATCTTCAACCATAATCCTATAGAGGTAAATAATGCAGGATGAAAGCAGTATTTTGACAACATAGAATAATAATTACAACTGTAACCCATGTGTAACATATCCTTGTCTAGCTTATATTTTGTACCAAATTCATTTTTTGTAAGCAGTACACATTTTAGCCACTTAAAGCTGTATGCAGTAAGTAAAACTACTGTCATTAAGCTTAAGATTTTACTGACTCTGAAAGTCATGCAGCTTTTGTATTAACTAGTTTTGTTACGGTGCCATTGCAATAGTCAAAAACCATAACAGTGATTACTTTTGCATTCACAGGTCACTATTTACAGAATAGTATGCAGTCTTCAGTTTGCAAGAATTAAACTGTTAGAGACTAAATCTTATAATGATAGCAAACATTCCAGAGCCAATAACACTCAATCGAGCACAGCTGACCAGACGTCAGATGGACAAACAGAAGATAGCAAGGTAACAGTTTCTTATTACTAGAAGTCGTTGAAGGATTGCAGACCTAAAGTGAACTAACCATCTCATTCTGAGACTATGTTACGAGCAGATTATACTAACCCCCTTGTCTTGTCACTTAAACTTTTGAATCTGCGCACGAACTCACTTGGTCAACTGCTTGTATTTTCCGTATTTTTGAAGGTAGATTTTTATGTATTCATTTCAGGTGTCCGTCAAACCTGGTTATGTTGCTTATTTTAATGTAGAAGTTTTTGTCCCCAAGAAAGAGGGGCAGTACATTGGGGATATAGAAATGGAGACAGATTATGAGGTAGGGGATGCAGTCTAAACTTAGTTATACTACTACATGAGAAAATTCTGCGATTTGATTGGCTTAGAACAGTGCTATTTCAGCTTAATTTGAAATACCTACGTGTGAAAATTACAAAACGTTTGAGGGTAGTAGTATAAACAAATAATAGCATGATTTGTAGTGATATTTGGCATAAATACCCTGAGTGATATTTCGAAATTGTTATACATAATTTCATGAGGCGTTAGGCAAGTGAAATTTGAGACAATTTTGAAATATCACGAGTGGTATTGGGGATATAGAAATGGAGACATATTATGAGGTAGGGGATGTAGTCTAAACTAGGTAATAACCTTGTTATTTTGTTTGAGTGCAATACGTACTGGTCCTTCTGCCTTAAAGTTAGGATACTACAGTAGGTCTCTTGATAAATGTTATTGTGATTTGATATACTATAATATTATTTAACATACAGTGGAAGCTGTCATAAGCGGACACCCTTGAAACGCAAGAAAGGTGTCCCTAACTGGAGCTGACCTGTTATGGGAATGTAAGAATACAGAGTTTGCATGAGGGTTGAGAAAAAAGGGGTTTTGTGAAGGTGGCTGTAAGTAGAGCTGACCACTTACGGTATGCAAGTATCCATTTCGAGAGCTTCTACTGTAATGTGAATCCACTGGGGTACATGCCCCATGCTTTTTTGGACATTATCATGGATTCTGTTACATCCTACAAGAGTCAGATCAGTGAGCACCATGAGTGAGTGTTGTAAGTTGAGGCCGACAATATTTCAACCTTATCTGTCACTGATAAGGCTAGAGTGTCTAACCATATGCATATCTGTGATCAGGGCAAAGACAGCACATTCTGGTGTAGGTGAAAAGAGTCAATCCAGATTAAAATCAATCAATTCAAGTCCAGCAGTAGTTTAAGAGCCAATATTAATTTTTCTATGGGTTAAAATTGTTTATTATTTTTGTGTTTCAGAGGCTATATATTCCCCTTCACTTAAAATCAATGGACGGGAAAATAGTTTCCTCTCCCACCTCACTTATTTTCCAACCTGGATTTCCAGTAAGTTGTGCTAACTGGATGACATTTCTTCCCAGCAGATTATCATAGTTATTTAAGTGAGATAGTGTTTGTTGGAGATGGCTCATGTAACTCTCAAAACTGTCTGAAACGGTGAACAAGTTTTGAAGCAGCAACAATACAGGAAAATTCTCGAAGAATAATTATTTTTTGTTGGAAATATCAGGGCTGAGTTGCTCTAAGCATGGTTAGCTTTAACCATTGGTTAAGCAGCATCAAAACCAATACGTTGTCAAGGTATTAAACACTGGTTAACGCTAACCATGCTTCGAGCAACTGGGCCCAGGAAGCTAAGTTTATGGGAGAAATTAATTATTAATTTTATTGCCTGTAACGGAGGCAAGATCAAGTGGTAGTGTGAACGGATAATATTCATCTTTCAAATGTGCTGATCTTCTATAATTTGCTAATTATGTTATGTGGTATCTCTGTATTGTATTGGTGTGCATCAACAAGGTAATACATGATGCATTTCTTTCATTATTCCCTAGGGTCAAATTGTCAACCATAGTCTCACACTTCTCAGTTCCTTTTCCAACACTCTCAGACTTGTTTCAGTCAAACCTTATCCTTTGGATGATAAATTTTCATTTGAACCTTCAAGCTCTGATGTACAGTTACTTCCAAATCAGAAAGTTCAGGTTTGTGCTTCATACAAGAGTTTTAAAGTGTATGTTTTATAGTTGAGTTAGTTTACATATGCTTGGTTCTAGAGTTATGTAAGAGCCAACAAGTTTAGTTCAACGTGAGTTGAGTTTTATTTATGGTCAACAAAACCAAGCCTACAACTTACTACATGATCATAATCACTGTATTTGCAAGCCAACTCTAGTGATATGTAAGCACTGAAAACTTATCCCATTGTGGTGGTGAATTTTCTAGTTGCTTCTCAACTAAGTAAATAAAAAAAATAAATGACTGTTTATCAAAGAAACTCATTGCAGCAATACATTGTACACATGAGCCTGAATTACAGAGCTACTTACAATTGTATAATAATGTGTACAAATGTAGATAATAAATGGCAAACCTATGTAAAAATTTAGTAACTAACAGCAAGTAATACTTAAAGGGAACCTCCACTCTTACTACAGAATAAGAATAAAATTATGTTGATAAACAAATTTGTTCGAAATTTGTCCTTAAAAAAGTGTTTATATCAGGAAAAGTGAATTTTAAAATCGCTTATTTTCACTTTCAAATTTCGCGGGCACCGCCATCTTGAATAATTGTGACGTGTTATGGTTGCTCTATTGTTTGACACAAAGAGCTTTTGTTTAATAACAATAGGGCAACCGTAACACGTCACAATTATTCAAGATGGCGACGCCTGCAAAATTTGAAAACAAAAATAGGCAAATCTAAAAGTCATTTCTTTCAGATACAAACGCTTTCTTTAAAAATATTTTAGATTGACTTGACTGTAACAGTTATTTCCTGTGATTTAAAGTTATCTTTTTGTTGAAGTGGAGGTTCCCTTTAAAAGTAACAAAATCTTGAACGGCTTGGTCGTACAAATTGGGCGTAAGCGGTACATTGTTGGTAGCTCCTGACCTCAGATGATAATTATGCTGAACTTCCTTCAGTTTAGAGAGAATGAAGTGTAATGGTCAAACTGAATTTGTCTGTTTTCCGACAGCACAAGGCATTGGGTTTCTCTATTTAAGCTTTAACAAAGTACTTGAAGAAATATAATTTATTGCCTAGGGAGCTCAAATGCTATGAACCTCTAAAATCAAGGGTGCACTGCATTAAAGTTTGCTGAAATTACTAAATCATGTGTCCGCTAGGCAACTGTACACTGCTAAAGCTCATTCCTTGAGGTGTCCCTCCCCCCTTACTTAATGTAGTGTAGTCCAGGAAGGCAGAATGACTATATTTTTATTTTCCTTGTTTCCAGGTTGGACAATTATTTTATAATCCAATGAAAGGCTGCAAAAATCATTGCTATACAGGCATAGAAGAAGGTAAGGATACTATCCATTTTGTCCTCTATTATTTGAGTAAGGGTATTTAACCTTGTTTGAAGCACACAGTTACTGGACTTTTGACTTCATCCTCAGCTTTTGTACTCATCCTTTACATCATAAATAATAATGACAGTGTTATTAAAAGGGAAGTGTTGGATTACAGTGAAAAGTTGTTTTTTGTTTGCTGGAAACCAGATATTTGTTTGTCTCACCGTTAACTTTGGTTAAACTGGGGCTTTTATTATAACAACAAGTATTCCACATTGTATTTGTATCTAAAACTGGTTCATAGTCAAAGAAAAGGGAAAATGACAGTGTAAAGGATAGCATTTTATCGGTGACAAAAACAAGAAGTTATGCTATCAAGCAAAATATTGTACTGATATTATTGTTTTGTAGGTGAAAAGTGGTTGTCAAGTTTTTCATTGCCTCCAAATATTGGGGAAATAGATGGCCGTCTAATGGAAAAAAATCAAAAGATGTTCTCTTCTTTAGAACGTGCAGGAAAACTTAAGTAAGTTATTAAGATTGCCTGATAGTAAAAAAAAAAAACCACACACATTGACTTGCTGGCTCAGAAATTTATTTATCCACGTTTGGTGATCAACGACACTCTATCTTTGTAAATAGATTTTTGGAAAATTGAAATGACTTTTGGCCAGATGTTAGAGAATGGACTCTTGGGCAAAGTGACCATAAAATTCTTTGCTCTGTATATTCACAAACAAAATAACACTCTCTTCTTGCTTTTCTTTTACAGATTAAATATATCTCTTATAGTAGACACAGATATAGTTAAAGGATTTCGAATCCCAGCACAAGCAAGCCTCTCATGGCCATCATTTTCATCTGACAAACCTGTCAAGTTTCCTCTCACTCATCTTGGAAACTCCTCAACTAAGTTCATCATGCTTGAGAACCCAGCAGATGTACCAGTCGTAGCCCAAATTGTTCCATTCTCTGTATACCCACAAGCTTTATGGGATTTGTTAGCTGATAGGTAAGGAGTTTCCGTTCAGTTCTGAGTAGGACCACACCAGTCTATAACTGTGGTCTGGACAGTTTGTCTTTATATTTTGCAAGAAAACATTCGTGGTCAAGTGGAAGCAGATGGATGATATTTAAAGTACTGTTAAAACTCCTTAACCTGGACACTCAAGGCTGTAGTCTAAGAAAAATTGAAGGGGGCTGAATGTTCTAAACCTGTTAAATCAAAAGGTGCCCAGCATATTATGAAGAAACTAAGATTTTCTAGTCATCCGGGAGCAAAATTTAGGTGCCTGGGGCCACTCGGTATTGCTAGATCACAGCCTTGACGCTATGGGAACATCGTCTAGTGTTCGTCACAGAGGTGTCATTATGAAGTTTAGTATTTTCAGGGCCAAAAGGGATGTCTGTTATAGAGAACTTGGTGTATGACTGGGGTTTTGAATATATTTTCCAAATAAACAGGTTCTCAGTTATGGTCTAATCAAGTCACTTAGGACATTTAGAAATGATGAGCTTAAAGTTGTGGCAAGATGTGGCGGCTGAGTCTGGTATAAGACAGTGAATTTGTAGACTACGAGTAGTCCCCCATTTTTCCTCAGGGATAGTAGAGCGAGCGAAACGCGAGCGCACGTGAAAATCACCCCCACACGAGAAAAGGCGACACGCGGCGGGAAGAGAGAAAAATGATAAAAAAAAAATGAAAATCATTTTTCTCTCTCCCCACCGCGTGTCGCCTTTTCTTGCGTGGGGTGATTTTCACGCGTGCTCGCGTTTCGTTCGCTCTACTATCCCTGAGGAAAAATGGGGGACTACTCGTAGTCTAGTGAATTTGTGCCAAGCACTGTTTTCGTGTTTTGCCTAACAGATGTACTAATGTATTTCTCTGCTCAGGTTTGATACAGAAGCTTTTGGATTTGATCCTGGTGAAAGTACTTTTTCAATTCCAACAGATGAGGTATGCTACAACTGTCACTTTTCAGGGGATAAACTGGCAAACTGAATTTCTTATAAGACTGTTTGTTACCTACCCGTCTCAATACCCAACATTTTGTTCTTAGGGACTTGGTCAAGTAGATGCACCCTTGTTGTTCTCTAATTTTAAACAATCACCCTAGCCTGCTTTGCAGTAGCCTGCCCCAGGCTCTGAAATAGTCAGGTCCATGCACGAAATTAAGAAATGCAAACACGCCCACCTTTCCCAGATCACTTACGCGTCATCCCTACTATCTGAGAGCCTGAATCAGGCTAGCTTTGTAGATGTAACGTAACCCTGGCTTGTAATATATGTGAATCAGTGCTGAGGTCCTTGTTCCGGGTTCCCAACAGACTCAACGAATTACCAGTAGTTTGTTTCGAATTTTCCTTCAACCTGATTGGCAAGTGAACAATGGCTTTTTAACAGGCCAACCATGGCGATTGGTACACAGGTACGCAGAACAAGGATTTCAATGCTGGTTTGCTGGTGGACTTAACCAGAGGTTTAATTTTGTCTCTGGGTCATCCTCCTTTCTTTTGTTCTTCAGCTTTGAATGGTTATTTGGCTTTTCAGTCAACAGTAGTGTAGTTGTCTAAAACGCGCCATGTAATGACTTCGTTTTCATTGCTGTTTCAGTGTGATGCTTCCATTACATCCACATCTGTGTTGGATGATAGCACAGTTCCTTCTCCTGGGACTGTGGTAACTGTTATAAAACCACGCTCCTCTGTTAGGATACCTGTCAAGTTTCATCCAAGAGATGAACGTCTAAGAACATCTGTAGTCCTGATAAGGTAACACTCTATTTAATCTTTATCTTCTGTACTTGTTTCTTGAACCTTAGCTTGTCCTGCTTTGACCCTTTGTGCAAATTTAAATAATTCTGAATTCAAATAACTCTGAAGCTTCTGAAACAGTTAGTCTCAATATTATCACTTGAAAAAGGCAGTTCAAGAGTTTTGCTGGTGAGCATTAGATCCCATCGGCCCAAAACCCCTTGCACTCCTTATGAAGTGTACAGAAGATAATTTTATTATTCCTTATCGCTTCGGTTTCATGTACTAACTTTATTGATTAGCATTAAGCACTGACAAAACTGATTAGGGTTAAGCACAAACAATACCGATTAGGGTTAAGCCCTGAGAATAGAAATTTGGGTTAAGCAGTGACTCGAAACAGTTAGCTTCTATTTAGGGTTAGGGCTGTTGCTGTATAGTTTCAATTTGAACCTCAGCAGCGAATCTTCAGTGGTGTAGTGGAAGAGTTGGTGGACAGCAGACACTATACTCAAGGTTTGATTCTTACTCATGCTGCTCTGAATTATGAGACTTGCACTTTCATGAACATTTACTGAACAGAAAGTTTTTCAAGAGACTAAAAAAAGTACTATGTGTGTAAACTTCATAAGGTGTTTTAGGAGATTTAAGCCGATGGGATCTAATGCTAACCTGTTTTGATTAGCTTAGAAACCATGATATATTTTTTGAGTCATCTTACAACTCCCCAGAAAATGTGGCTCAAAAATTGATTCTCGGTGATGGTATTTGTTTGCAGGAACAATCTCACAGTTTTAGATGGCATTGTAGTGCAAGGACAAGGAGCCCGGGGCGAGTTTACTTTGAACGGAAAGAGACCTGGGTCCCACAGTACCTTACTGTTTGAAATTAAACCCAGTCAGCTGGCCGAGTGCCACAGTAAGTCAGTGCATGCTCATAGTAGACTTAGTTTTTATTTTAAAATTTTAAAATTAAGGTAGTAAAAGCATTCATACACAGTGTTTTGATGTTGCCATGGCATCACGCTCAAGTGACAAAATGAAAATTCAAAGTGAATTCGTTCACACGTAAACAGTGTTAGGTTAATGTGTTCCGTCTGGTTCACCTCACACTGTATATATTCAATCAGTTTGAATTTCTATTTTTTTCTTGTAAAGGTATTGTCATGGTCTCTTCGAAGGATTGTGGTTTACATTTCCTGTATCGCTCTTGTGGGCAGTATTTTCTTCTCATATCTCGTTGGAAATGCGTGGTTACCCCTAATTGTCTTTGTGGATTTCTTACTGAAACCTTTTTTACATCTCCGCAAACGTCCACTGTATATTTCACCATTGCATTATGTCGCACAGTTTTAAGGATGTTTTTTCGTTTTTTTTTTTTTGATAATTGTTTTTCTTTAGAAGAAGCCCCTCGTTCACGGTCGTTGCCGTCTTTATCAGTAATGAAGACATTAACAGCCATCAATCCTGGACAGCTGGCTGTGTTCATTAGCTCACTTAGTATCAATGGCTATGAGTGTGAGGGATATGGCTTTAAAATCATGAATTGCAAGTCTTTTGTGCTCAAGCCTAACACATCGAGGAAGATAGAAATCACGTAAGTGTGTTCTAACCACAGTCAGTTGGCAAAGTAACAGTGGTTCGTTACCTTTTAAGATTAGTGCTCTTGAGCTAGCTTCGTTTGTTTTCCATTTCACAGCATATGATGTTACCCTGGGACACTCCTTATGTTGAATTTGATCCTATTCACGTGTTTTTGAACGAGACGAAGACGAAATTATTGAAAAGATGAAGGCAAAATTACTTTCCTTTTAACGCGACTGGAAGTGGGTCGTCTGGAAAGAACAGCATGTTGTCTCTACAAAGCTATTAATCGTCGTAACACATCCTTTTTTACCGTTTCACCTCTGTGCTTGGTATATTCTATAATTTTTGTTTCGTTATTAATCACGTTTTTTATCTTTTTAGGTTTACACCCGATTTTTCAATGTCCAGAGTAACTCGGAAACTGGAAGTCAAAACCACTTTAGGACCTGTAATGGAGTTTACACTAGTAGCGACAATCCCTACCCACCTCCTCCCCCTGTGTGCGTCTTCCTTGGGACATAATTCCTGGGAGCCTCTCTTGCGAGGAGCCGTCGTTGTTCTCATGGGCGTTGTCTTCTTGGGGGTTGTTATCGCTGCTTATGCTGAGGCGCGTAGACTCGCGTTTCTTTCGCATCCTGAAGTGCAACTTTTACAGATGAAAGAGGAAGATCGAGCGCCGATATTTGACTTAAATGCGATCGCCGGGGTCAAAAAGAACAAGTGAGTCCTACTTAACTCTCTCAAGAGAGACCAACATCAATTTTCCCCGAACAGTATCCATGCATCCTCAGGAGAAATGGTTATGAGAATAAAAAAAATGATCATCAAACTAATTCTGTAAGGAAATGTATGGAGATCAGTTTGGGGAATTTGTATGTGGGTATTGGGGCTTAAACTCGTCTCTGATTGATTGTATTAACTGGACTTGTTACATATCATGTCTGGTCACTCATGATACCTTTTAAATGAAGAAATATCCTTGGTTTTTGTTTCCCCATACTTTATAGTTAACTTTGCTTTACATTTTCAAAGTTCTAGCCTGCGTGGCTGCCTCGTGGCTGGCGTTCGAAAGGAAAAGGAAAGTGAATTTGGGCGCGAGCCTTACCGTCCCCCTTTCGCGTCGTTCGCGCTTCTCTCGCGCTCGAAATGCCCTTCCACTTTCCTTTCAAGCGCCTGCCAAGCAGGCTATAAATATCCACCCGAGTCTTATAAAAGTCCTGGGAAAGTGATTTCTTAGTTCTCGTGGTAGGAAACCTGTTCGACGTCTTGACTGGGCAGTTGGGAGCGTAAGCAACGACGACGGCGACGTCAACGAGAACGGCGAGAAACCAATAGGTTTAGATTGGCAAAACAACTCTTCACGCGCAGCACGCTTTTTTGTATATTTCTTTAGAGTCACTGCACGACGACGACGTGGCGACGGGAACACAAGTCAACGACTTTGTTTTTCTTTTTCAGAACTTCGGTAGATTCTTACAACACCTGAAAAAATTGCCAACATTTGACGATTTCACCGAAATCAAATGGAACAAGGGCAATAGAATTTGAAGCAGCGGGATTCCACTTTTAAGCGACGTTTTCGTAGCCGTCGCCGTACGTCGATGCCTAAGCTCCCTAATGCTTTGTCCCGGGTTTTGTCATGTACAGTAATTCTTTTCTATATCTGGTGTGTTTAGGATTCCTGTAAAAGACGAACCAACAGTGGGGCAAAAGAGATCAAGAAGAGACACACGTGACAGTAGAGAAACAACGCCGGTAATGGCGGACAGACCTTCGAGCAGTGACAACACAACTAATGCAAGCTTAGCCAATCACTCACCTACAAATAATAACATAAAAACACCATCAGCTAGTGGGACACGACAAGATACTACCGGGACTCGAAATCGAAATGCAAGAACTGATGCATCTGGGAAAAATCAGTCAAACACGCTTGAAAATTGGGACTTCAGAGGTGCTAGATCAACCAGCCCTCCTCTGGAGAGTAAAACATTTTCTGGCATGAAAGATAGCAAATTAAAAAATGTAGCGGTAGTAAAGAACCCAACGGACGCTGTAGGAAACACAAGTCGAAAGGTTACTGAGGCAAAGAAAGCAACCACGGACGAGAGCAGAAGAACGGAGAGAAGCAAATCCCACCCTGAAAATCTTAATGACGAAATTATAAGTGTAGTTGTTCCAAATAAGTGTGAGTCAGCACCCAAAAGGGATTTGAAAGACTCTAAAGAACCAAAGGGAAAACAGAAACGAAAGTTAAAAGCTTTGAACAGGAAAGATGAGAAGGACAAAAAAGGCAAGACGAAAGAAAGTACAGCAGCCAAGAGCAAGGACGATGAAGGTGTCATGTCTGATGACAGTTGTAGTGATGGATCGTCAGACAAGTCTGTACCTGAAGTCAGGATACAACAGCCATCAAAAGAAGGAAACAGAACTCATCAACTGGTCAGTGCTAGTCGAGAGACACTGGACAGTGGGAGTGGAAAAGACAGAGGAAAGAACCGTAAAAGTGGGACAGAGAATGCAGGTGCGAAACCCAAGAAAGGAGACGGCCAGTCAGCGAGCAGCGCCGGGCGACCAAAGAATTTAGATGTTCCAGCCAAGAACCAGAACGTTGGACAACACGGCAAGAGTCAAAACAACTCGAGCCATCTTGAGAGCGGAAAGACAAGCGACATGCAGCATCCAGGCGCAACTTCACCTCATGCCATCGCTGCGGCTGTCATGTCACTAGCGTTGGGCAAGAACATGCAGGCGCCATCCAAAGAGAACAGCTTTGACGAGCACGAACTCAGCAAGAGGAAAGCGTACACCAAGACATCTTCGTTGTGTACCAATCTGTCGGACTCGCCTCCTCCCACCTCTCCCACCCAGCTCAGCGGAAGTAGTCGGAGTAGCAGTTACAGCAGTATTGTTAGCAGTGACAGTTCAAATGGTACGGAGCAGGTGAAACAATCAGGAAGAAAGGGAAACAAGTTACGTGTTAAGACCACTAAGTCTCTACCCATGGAGGGCGGGACTAGTCCGACTTGGACCTCTGCAGGTAACACGATATGGAACATCAACGTAATTAATCCCGTTAGGTCAAGTCACAAATAGCCTGTGACAGACCCCGATCCCCTAAGGAAAAACCCCTTCTCCGATTTTTCATTAGGGGAGTGGGGATCTGTACACAGTTTAGGTCACACAAGGCAAACTTCCCGTACAGAGCAAGTTGTGTGAACAAACTGCCCAGAGTAAAATATCCCGCACATTAATTCTCCCTCAGTTTTTTTCCCGCAATTGTTGCAAGAAATACGCGAAGCTCATAGGGTTAGTGCAGAAATCCATTTCTTACAAGGCAGTTGTTTTTCTTCCATTTGTCCTAAAACGTTAACACCATTTTTTTTGGCAGTGTTGCGAATTTGCTTCTCTCTTGAGAGAAAATACATTAGTTTTGTCTAGAGGAAAAGTTGACGCATATATTGATATATATCTGGATGTAGCCAATAAGAAGCGAGATGGTGTGAATGGATTTGTTTTTATGATGGAATTGTGTTCAATGTTCAATTTTCCTCTCTGTTAGGTGGCAGAAAATCTGGTAAAACGGGAGAAGACCTTGGCCTATCCAACCTGAGACGCAGCCCCTGGGCCCTCCCTTCAGAGCCTCCGTTGGCACGCCGCAGCCCTGTGGGTGAGAGACCGGATAGAATTGTTTCTTCCCAGTATTTGCCGACTTCCCGCTCGCCTTTACTAGACAGTCATCCTTTCCGACGTAATAGCCTGAAGAAGCAATCGTCGTTAGAGGAGAAGGTGCGTCCGTTTGACCTGAGTGATTTGGGATTGTTCGATAGTGGTGCGACGCGCAACAGAGGTTACCCAACTGGACATTCTAATCTGTGGAAGACCAACGACAAATGCTTCAACAACCCCGACAGCCTTTTCAGCTCATCTTCACTTGCAGCCGATGATCAGTTTCACGGCAAGAGCACGTGGCCTTCGAACAACTGGGTGAATTTCTTGGATGCTAGTAATGTCAACGGTGGTGCCGTGAACAGCAACAAAACCATGGCCGAGATCTGGGATGCAGGGCAGTCGCCTCTTGACAGTGATGGATGGTCTATTTATCCGCCTACTGCCTCTCCCGTTCCTCCTGCCAGTTCTGAGGCTGATGCCGTAGATGCTTTGTTCAGCCAGATGCCCGCTGACTGGTCCGGTGCAGCTGCGGGGCCCAAGTCTCCGTTCAGCACTCAAGAAGTGACCTGGACCCCACCACCTGATGTGTCCTCCATCTGGAGTAGTGGATACTTGGTGCCCAGCTCCACAGCAGAGCCCCTTCCCACCTTATCTGCAGCTTCGTATGTACCCTACACGGTGCAGCCACCGCAGAACCAAGAGTCTCCTGTGCAGCCCTCCTTTGAGCCCCTGGGCTCCCTGGGGAGTAGCATCTGGAATCCTACTGGTGTTACATCTACTTGGTCCTCCACCTCAGAATAAGATCATCCCAAGTGCTCTTCAAACCTCTTTTACTATAAATTTGATGATTTTCATTTGCATAATATCATAAATTTTGTAGCCTGAAAAAACAGCCGACATTTCTCGACGGCACCACCGGTCTCCCCTTAAAATGGTATCTTAGTAACAAGTGGTGGCGTCGCGATATGTCGGTTGTTTTCTCAGGCTATTAATAGAGAGCTTTACATTCAAGGACGACTACGAGTGCGAGATTTTCTCAATACTAAGTAGTGTACGCTCGCGAGCCAGCGTCATTTTGGTGGGAAAACGTGATAGCCGTCGTCATTCTACAACGAGTTTTACCTCGAATGTCACAGTGGCGGGAACAAGTTATCAAATGTTAGAAGTTGTATGGTTTTGCTATCGGGAGAGGGCTTAACGTCCTTCAGTTTAAATAACCGTACTAACTTTTTTGGTGTAAAAAAGTAAAATGAAGCTTTTCTGGGTGTCTTTTTTGGGAGCACGAGCAAAAACTTTAAGTTAAATATCGTACTCGTACTCGTTCTCGTCTAAAGCTCTCCAATTTTGTAGCCTGCCAACCCAGACGTATTTCCGGTGATCGCTTGTCGCCATCCGAGAGTGGAGAGAAACGACGGCCGGCAATTCGTCTTCTTACGCAGGCTATTAATTTTGCTTTTAATTAGCTTTTTTTTCTTGAAAAGTTAACTTTCAAGCCACAGTTCCGTCGATGTTACTGCCAACTGGCGCAATTCTCTCCAACTTTGTCAAAATAATAACGACAAAGACCTCTTCTCTAAGACCTGCTCAGCTCACTCTTTTATCCTGCGGGCGCAAAAGGAGAGGGGACGAAGGAAAAAGGTGGAAGGGGATCCCCAACCCCCCGCCCCGCTTTCCCCTCCCCGACCCCCACATCTACATTCAATATCTGCCACGCAGGCTACAGCCTCTAGTATCCACGGTATTGGTGGGAAAGGCGAGGTCCGTCCTCAAACTCCCATCATTTGTTTTTAAATTTCTCTTGTATGTTTTATTGACGGAATTGGGTGTGAAAGTAACTTTATTTGTATTGGACATGGATCGCATGGACACTTGGGTATCAAATTTTCAAAACTAGGATGCTTTGATGAGTTGGAGAATGGCACTAAAATAAGCCTCTTTATTTAACTTGTATGTTTTGTTTTCCCAATAGAGGTCCCAGGGGAACCTGACCCTCAAATTTGAAAGAAACAGTTCTCTAGAGTATTATCACATGAGCTGTATTGGGAAGACAAAACGTACAAGCTAAAGAGGTCTATTATTGGTGCATTTGATCGTGGTTTTAACATTAGTATTCAGATGTGACAGGCTGTTGATCCGTACGAACCACGGTACATGTTTTTAAGCCATATTTTATTTTGCCCGGTTTTTTCTCTCTGCAAGGAGCTTTTGGCAGGCTTGGGTGTGTTGTAAGATGATTGTATTTCCCTTTGATAGTGGGTTGTAAAAGTCGTTAGAGCTGGCTTTATGCTTCGTCACTTCACCCAAAAATACGGATTTAGCGGAGTCCACAAAAATTACGCAGGTAGCTTGAAAGTGTAGTTAGAAAGCAACTCTTAGAGAGTGTGCAAAACATTTTTTCGCCCTGCTTCGCAACTGTTTGGTCCGAGAGGGTCTTTTTCTTTTAAGTAAGCCGATGCCAACGGCGCAAAACCCGAACACCAGGGCCTCCTTGTGCGCTCGGTCATTTTGTAAGAGTGGACTGGGCCTCGTGTCGTAGGGTGTTTTTATATAGTGGGCTAGTTTGTTGTGCAACGCTTCAATCCTAGTAAGACTGCTGTCCTGTTATTTATAATAAAATCCCGTTATTTATTGTTTTAAAGGAGTTTTGATATAAAAGAGTACTAAAAGTAAGTGCAAAGTGAGTTGTTTGGGTCGTTTTTATGCTGTCACCATTTTGTACTATAGAGGATTTTATAAGAATTGTTGATAAATAAAGTTTTGTAAAATCAGAGATGGAAATTTGCCTGTCTTGTAAGATTTGTAATTCATGCATCTTTAGCAGGAGTAGGAACTTTTTTTAATCAATCTGTGTTACTGGAACAAGAAGACTCATCCACGATGTCCGTAAAATCCCTAACAACAGCCTATATGTCGCCACAAATGTAAAATTCAATTTACACTCTTCTCCATTAAGAATGAAGAAGATTTTACACGACTAAATTACGGAGGCACCTTTCTCGCATGCGCCTGGATGCTTCGGTTTCGGCCGCGGCTGAAGTCAGGCGCGGTTCAGACTTGACCGAAACCTGAAACCGCGCATGAAAAGTCTCTGATACCTACCGGTACTAAAGTTTAGGTCTGCAGAGGCTCCCGCTGGGTTTCCCTGTAAAACCAGAGGAGAGTTGATGAACAGTAAGACTGGAAAACTTTGACAAAATTTCGACTTCTTCCCCTTACGAACAATGAAGTTAATAGTGAAGTTCAAACCCAAAACGTTGGGGTTCAAGAAGCACACCGCGTTCTCTTTCCTTCCCTCGTGCGCGCGAATTAAATCCCCTGTGCGCAGGCAGTTTAATACTGACCGGGTGGGAGCCGGTCCGCGAATCAGGATACGAAGGTCTTCTCCTGAGGGCGTCGAACAGTTTTCACGTGTTTATTTACTTTTCATAAACCGAAAGTAAGATTTAAGCTTTTCTTCTTCCTCAGCTGGGACTGAATTCCACGGCGACTTTGGCAGCCACCCACACCCCAGTCTCCTAGCGCGAAGGCAAAAGCGCGCCGGTCCGGTCCATGATTGATTTCGGCGGGGGGAGGATAAATTTTCCATCTATTTTGTCCAATTCAAGACTGTACGTATCGTATCCTTGAGTGTCTTGGGCAGCAGTTACGCGAGTTTGATACGAAGCCCCTCTAAAAATGCTTGAATGTCAGGTCTTTCAGAAAATAAAACGATTTTACCCTCAGAATACTGGACGCGTTAGTTCCGAGGACTTAAAAAAATTTCAGGAGTTTCAACCAATCCTCCTCCAGCCCTTTAGCTGCCTAGAAACCCCCTAGCCCCTGGCTCACGCAATAGGTAGTTGCAGGAGCCCATCAAATCTCCTGGTAGTTGTTCATATTTACATCGTTATCGTTATCAGGGCGTTATCCGCCCTGATCGCTATTTATTTCTTCATGCTTTACGGATAGTATGAAAAAAGTATTTTTATTATCCATGATTTGCATCGACGTTCGCTACTTAAGGAGATGAAAAAAAGAAACAGAGTTGAATCGAAAAAAAAAATTCAGAGTTGGAGAACCCGGGCATCGATCCCGGTACCTCTCGCATGCTAAGCGAGCGCTCTACCATTTGAGCTAGTCCCCCGCTCATGTCAATTTCGTGTAAATTCTCAGTTTTTAAAACCATAAGCTATTTCTAGTGACGTCACTACAAGGCGAAATTTTGCGCATGATCGCCGAACACAACAACAATTTAATCATGGCTGCCATACTGACTTGCCTGTTTAAAACTTTTCAATGGATACCCGTTTTATTTATCAACGCAGTCATCATTTGGTCATACTACGCTTATGTTGTAATTCTTTGTTTCGGTAAGAGCACTAATTTCTTACTTGCTTCTTCCCGTTTTCGGAAATCGTCAAATTTGTGACTTGATCCTTCAACACTGTTCAACTGCAGGATCTGTTGCTTTTTGCAGTCTTGTCTATCTTCAGCTTCCTGGTCTCTAACCCAATGCGCCTTCTTTTTTTTCAGAGAGTGTTCAGTCTGTATATGAGCGAGGTAGGTTTTAAAACGTAGGGATTCACTGAATTCAATGTAACATCTGCCTTCGTTCACAAGTTTCGAAATCGGGGCCTTAATTCCTTTGTGTCACGGAGATTAAGCCGTTCATAGCAGTTTGATTTTTTTGTACAACTCATAGACTGCACTGACCATTTTTTTTTTTAGCTGTGTATTTGATTTTCTATCACCCTTTCTTTGTGATGCTGATGATATCTTATTGGCGGACGATATGCACTTCATCTGGTTTTGTTCCTTCTCAGGTGTGTGATGAAATAATATTGTACCAACCTTGGAAATTAAAAATAAGCAAGCCTGTCTTTAAACTAAGTTTTCTCTTTATATTTTGTTCTGATAATGAACTACAGCCGCATAGTAATAGGGCGATTGATCAGAGGCGTTAATACTGTCTATAAAGTCTATAAAGGGTAGGATTAAGTATTATTATTTTTATTATTCGTGCAAATAGCAACTGTCATATGATGTGTCAATTATTACAATTTCTTAGAAAGTGGTCAGTCAAGGTAAACATTGTTTTCCTTGCCCAGTCAGCTATATCCGTTTGCTTTTGTTTTATCAGCTATATTAATCTTGAATGAAGAACACAGGCAGATGCATGTATATGTTGTAGGGTATATTGTCTCTTAGGTCAATCTGTTTTTAACCAAGTTTAATTCTCAATTTCCTTTGTCTCCTCCCTAAATATTCATGAATTAGGGCTTGGATACTAAGGAAATCTAGATTCAACTCACTGATCATATTTATTTTGTACCTTGTACACACTGTTTCATTTTCATTTTACTGGAATTTGGGTTGATCTGCTAAAGCACAAGTATGTTTGTCTGTTGCTGATTTTTACTTGCACGTTATCAAAAATGAAATCAAAAGCACTCAGTGAATTATGGTTAAAACTATAGAGAGGGCAGTTACCAGACTCTGACAAAATTGTCAGTAAATTATTATAAAAATAACATCTATGTATTAACCTTGGGACGTACAAGAAGGGGTGGTTGCCACCCTGCCTCTGAGGTTTTTCTGAGTTTTTTTCCTAGATGATGAAACATCAGTAGCTGCAGCATGCAAAGAAAGTAGTGTCCGATGGCCTGGGGCTAGTGGGTTTTGCTAGCGGGCTAGTGAATTCTCTTATTAACTTGCCCGACGGGCAAGTGAAGGTTTTTGAGGAATCCAAATTACAGAGAAACTGTGAAATCAATCTGCTCATCAGAACATTTTTGGGGCTAGTTGGAATGATGTTTGGGATAGTAAATGTTAGCTTCAGCTTTCCTGAATGGTAGGCTGTAAAAGTGACTTTCTTTGCACCCTGGGCTGTTCCTTTATCCCTCACGTGCATTTTGAGACAAGTTTAGTGATTGTCAGGTACTATAGTGACAATAGATCAAAGTCAGTTGTCCGTGTTCAAACGAAAACCTGGCAGACATTTTTAACAAATTCACAAAGATACATAAGGGCCATTATTCATTGATGAGTTACACCACACTTGTTTTTTACTTTAAGAGGGAAAAGGGGGAAGGGCCAGAAACCACATTTAAAAGTCTGTTCCCAGAATACTCTTCTTGAGTCTACTGGTTGTTAGCCTGCAAATGCAGCCGTATTTCTGGCTGTCACAAGGTGTCTGCTCATGCAGGCTAGGTGGTTGTAC